GGGCGGGGCGGGGGCTTCGGGCCGGGGGCTGCCCAGACCCCCGCGCCGGGGCGGCGGCGGGGTGCGGGCCCTTTGTGCCGCCGCGACCCCGCAGGCTCGGCCCCCGCGCGCCGGTCGCGACGTGCGGCGGCGGCGTGCGGGCTGCGGGGCCGCCGGTGTGGAGCCGCGGAGCCGGCCTCCTCCGCCCGCCCCCAGCGTTTTAAATGATGCATCTCTTGCGAGGATTTCTACCGGTCGGCTCCGAGCAGGAAGTGTCGTCAGGAGGCCATTTTTAAAAGCCTCCTGCGGGCCTCGGAGGTAAGCGTTGACGTGGTGTGACTCTCAGTGGTTAGAGGAGACCCGGCGGCCCCGCCACGGCCGGGCCGGCCCCGGCGGACCACGCACTAAGCCCCCGCGCCCGCGCCTCCCGTCCTAGCACCACGTTGTTAGATGTGGACTCGCCTTGGATACCGTGTACCATCGGTGTGAGAGTGCCAACAATAAACTTGAAAACCGGACTGGCATTGTCTTTCCTTGGGAGTTTCGCGGCGTTTGCCCCGGGAAGGGCTTGTCCACGGAGGACCTGTGCATCTTTTGTGGGAGAGGGGAGTCAGGGGAGGGTGGATGGTGAAGGTTTGACTTGCTCCGATGCTGATGGCAGCCTTTGTGGGACCTCCCCATCCCAGCTGCCCTTTCTGTCTTGCGATCTGGGGTTGTTGGGCAGTTTCAGGCAGGGTGCAAAAAAGTGAGTATTTCTTCACCGGAAAGGGAAACCAAAGGAGAGAAAGAAAGAGAACACTTACGTCCCTCTATGTAAATGTACCGCATTAAAATAACGCTGACTTTAAAAACTAGGATAATGAACAATTAGCCTAACATTAAACAAGTTAAAAAGTGAAATAGCACTTTGTCCTGTTTTTGAAAGTGTACACAGCTAAATTGTAATGTTGTGTTACAGCCTTTGAGGATTAATACCTAAGTTTAGAATTGAAGCCACCAAGAGTAAGACAGCCGTGGTCTCCAGGAGCTTGCAGTGCTTTCCTAGAGGAAAGGAGGGAGAATAGGAATGTAGGTCTTACTCCTTCTCTGAGTCACGGATGCAAAGTTCAGCCCAGCTAGTGATGTATGTACACAGCAGGAGATACTGGTGGAGGGTTCTCGAAGCCCAGCAAATAGGTGTTTAGAAACCAGTATCATAAAGTCTCTTCAGAATGCAAGGAGAATGGTAGGCTGTTTTAATTGTTTGATATCAATGTTCTCTTTCACCTAGGAGGCACTCTTTAAAATTTTTTTTATCCTAGATGTAACATAGCCTTGAAAAATAAGCCTTTTGTATGTGTCCGGTTTTGTTATGCTGATAACATTCATTACAAATGCATTTTGGAAAACAGACAAAGGAGGGCATTATTTTATTGAGCCTCCTCCCTGATACTATGTCAAACTCTGCCGATTTTTTAAAAATTAATTGATAACCAATGTAAAGAAAAAAGAATGCCGTGATCTCCCCTGGTGTATTTGTCTTTAAGTAAGGGGATCCGGGTCAGTTCTTTGGGCAAGAGGAAGAACAAAGAATATTTTTATGGTTGTTGCCATGAAGGCTGGGACATTTCATTCATTCACTCATTTATTCATTCCTTCAACCAATTTGTACTGAGTGCCCCCTGTGCCAAGTCCTGTCCTGTTGACTGATAAACAAGGTCCTCACAGTGAGACTTCCCAGTCCTGGATTGTTCTCAAGCTGCCTGGGGTAGACTGCATTTTCTTTGTTCACGCATGCCAACCCAGCCAATTGCAATTTCCAGAATCCATCCTTGGAATGAAGGGTCCAGAGACTATGTAATCCAGATGTTCTCATCATGGAGTGGGGGTGGCGAGGCAGCAGAATCACCTGGGAAGAATTGTAAACCGCGTGCGCCAGCCCATCTCAGGAAAAGGGCAATCTGATGTATTAGGTCACCTGAGTCCTAGGAAACCTTTTCTTTTTTATTTTAAGTTCCTGTGTTACCTGGCCACACATCCTTGCTTGACAAGTATCTTGGGGGCTCATTCTCCTTATTTTCTAGAAGAAAATTCCCCGGGGGCAACCTAGGCTTCCCAGACCCAGGACTTAAAACCAAGTGCCTGGCTTCTGCTGCAGGGCATTTTGTGTAGTACCTGGCAGCCTCGCAAGGTCCTGGTTGTAGAAGCCTATGCCTGGGCCTGCAGGTGTGAGGCCAGATGGGGCTTGGTGCCTGAGAAGACAAGGCCCAAAATAAGGAAGAGCCCTGGAACTTGCCACGCTTTTGACTCATCTGCAGCTTGACAGCACCGGGCAGGAAGTAAGAACCATACTTGAGTGACAGTAGATGCTGTGACTTCAGTTCACAGTCTCACACAGCCTGCTAGCAGAAAGCAAAAGAATTTAGGTTAGACGCCAGCTGACCAATTCCGTGACCTGGGAAAAGACACACAGCCTCTCCAGCTCTGTCATCTTAGAAGCAGCAGATAATTGAAGGTGTACTTTGAGGACTATTGAGGTAATGTATGAATGTGCCTCTGCAGCCACCCGGCACCCCGTCCACCTGACTTCAGTCAAGATGGTCCAGGATTGCCAAACCCAGCCAGCCACGGAGAGCATCCTGATCAGGTCACTGGTACGGCATTTACTGCTTCACTAAAACCACCCATTTATGACTGCTCTCCATCTCCCATTACACTCCTGAAAGACTGCCTGTGGCAGGTGGTGGGGCGAAAACAGTCCTGGTTTATGTTCATTGTACTCGCACACTGCCGGGCACCGTCCCAGGAACATTTACGTTTCCAAGAATCTGTAAAGTGTTCCTGTCCTTATACACGTTACAGAGAGTGTCAGTGATGACATTTCCAAGGTCAAATGGCTAAGCAAGGGTCGGACCCAGAGTCCGCTTGCCCAGTTACCCCACTACCCTCCAAGGCAGTGGCCTTGCCGCCCTCTCCAGCACCCTTGCCTGGGTGGGTATGTAAAAGATGGCACAACAATGCTCATGGTATTCTTGGCATTCCCACACACTCCTCTGCACCTGTAATGTCAGGTAGTGGTTCTTAACCTTGGCAGTACATTAGATTTACCTGGAAAGCTTTTAAAACTCCCAAAGCCACCCCCACACACAGTGGGGCCCAGGCATCATTATTTTTAAAGCTCTCCAAGAAATCTTAGTGTGCAGTAAGGTGACCATCCCAGTGACCTCCTTCAAAACTAAGTTTAACATCCTGGGCGTATTATGACGAGTTGGTCACCGTAATGCAGCCAAGGTTAATAATCAGTGGTGTAGTGGGGGATATTTTTTCTGTGTTCGATTATACTTTTTATTAAACCCTTAATCCATTTCATCTGCAAAATTTGGTTTTTCTTTAAGCCAAAACAAGGTGGGGAGGAAATACAAAAATATATGTGTCCTTCACCCTAGGTGTGTGTTCAGTAACACACAGTTTTGTAATGTTGCTTGTAATACTCCTTTGTTTTTTACCTTGTATTTTTTTTTAATGCTAACAAGAGTATAATTTCCCCTATGTGATAACTTACTTTGTTTTCTGATATAGTCTCAGTTAAAGAGCTTCACAGTGTCATGTCTGTCTCCAAATAACTCCTTTGTAGATGGGGCTGTGGAGGAGATCCTGGCCTCCAGCCCCCTGAGGACCTCCTGCTGCGAGTCCTTTATCTCATCTGGCTGATTTGTTAAGCTGAGTTTCTGCTGCTCAGGAGTGTCTCCGGATTCTTCTACATTCAAAGGAGTCTTACAAAAACAGGTTGACTTATTTCTTAACAGAACATGTACTGTTTGCCAAGCATAAGGTTACCTGCTGTCTGCATATACCTCTTCCTCACATCAGCATGTAAATTAGGCATTATCATTCCACTCTACAAGTGAGAAAACTCAGGCTCAGGGGAGGTTAACAGATCCAGAATTACACAGCTATTGTGTACAAAACCTAGGTTTTAAACCTTGTTCTTGATCTCCCAAGGTCATTGTCTTTTCCACTCTTATACTTTTCCCCTAGAAAGCAAAGGAATCAGAACAGAGGCTTTCTTGTCCAGCCTTCTTGCCCCATTCTGTGGCCCAAGTGTTACATTTGGTTTCAGAAGGAAATCTAGAATTCCAAAAGCGGTACATTTGTCAGCAATATTTGGAAGTATTTTTTGTCATTCAGGGGCCACCAATTTGCACTTTGGTTATTTCGAAGTGCAAGGTCGTTTGGCAAAAAGAAAATAATACTATGTACCCATTCAGTTCAGTTCTGATTCTTTGTAATGGTCTGAAAGAGTTCTCGCTGAGTGAGCTACCAGCTTCTTCCTAAATACCATTTTACCTGGGCAGTGATAGCACTTTACAGGCCTAATGTTACCTTCCCCCCCCCCCCCCAATCAGGTATTACTTGTCTACATGCTGCTGGGCACTTTGAGGTAGAATGCTTTAAAATTTTGCTTGCTGGGAAACATTTCTTGGACCGGTGTT